GATATTATTAATATAAATTATGCATATAAATTATAAATTAATTTAAAATTAAAATAAATAGCAATCAATTTTTATAGTATATTTATTTTATAAATATCTATACCTGTGCATGAACACGGAAAAATCACATAATATCTAAGAAGGAAAAAAACCCCAATAAATTTGGGGAGACTTTTCATGGGATAAATTTTGTGATGAATAGGTTTTTTTTATTTTCACTGAATGAATGACCCATTATAGTTGCGAACCGTTAATAGATAATTTTTTAAAATAACGTGATACTAAAACAACATTATTTATATGGTGCAACAACAATATCCATATTCTGGATTTTTTGGAATACATTTTCCTCCTGTGTATTTCTTATTCTTCATAGAACACTTAACCAAGCAATGATGAGTTCCGGACTTTCCCATCTTACAAAGCTCGTCATAAATGCATGCTCCATAGTTTGTTGTCTTACTCACTTCACCTATAACAAACCAAGGTTAAAATTATAATCATATATTTTTTTGAAAATGGCTTTAATTATAATCATATATCACATATCCAAATAATAGTTTTTTCATGTCAAAGTTCTAACACATCCATATAAATGGCTATCACAAATTCTAATATATATATTTTCTTTTCCTTTAATAAAAAACGTTAAGGTGGCTAAGTACTGCTTTCAAAATGTTCAAAGATAAAAAAAACATTAATAAAAAGTAAAACAAAAAGTCTTGAAAGAATGATTATACTTGATGCAGCTAGAACTTCACAGTTGGACGCAACTGCCAATGTTATTACCAAGAAAAGGGTGATTGAGATTTTTGTGAAACCCATTTCAATTTTTGTAGTGTTATTTCTATTGAGAAGAAAATATGTAACTGTGATTTTCTAGCTATTGATGAAGGGCTCTATTTATATGATTTTTCATTCTTTTCTTTGACACTTGCCAATTACTGTTCAATTTTGTTTTAGTTTTTATCAGATACGAATCTTTCATATTTGCTGATATTTTTTGGGGAAAAATTCTTTTGACTTTTATTGTACATTTTGCATGTATGGCATGCTTCTCTATATTTTGTGTGAACTCATTGCACGTATGGGATGCTTCTCGATATACTGTCATTTGACCCCAAAAAAATACATACGTACGGTCAAATATTTGAGTACTCTCTGGTCTAAATTTTACAAACACCTTTATAGCCCTTTTTAAATACTACTTACTTTCATTAAAATTCAGTTTGACTGGATTACAAAAGTTAGAGGAAAGATAAATATCAACTATGTGTCTATACAGAAAATACAGTCATTGTCACAGACTGATACACAAACCAGACCACTTATAAACATATGCATAAAGCTTCAGCATCAAATAAACATGTTCTTAAATAATCACAACGATGGAAGTAAAATGATCCAACGAGTTGAATACTTCTTTCTCCATTTCAGACACACTTTGGAACTCTTCCTCAGATAGATAAGCCTTTGACCACAGCAATAAAAAAAATGATTCACTGAATCTAATTGAGACTATTTCTGTTTATTTTGTGACTCTCAACATCACTTTATGTGACTATTTTTCTGTTGTTCGACTGTGTAGTGAAGGTTATATCGACATATTTAAGTTCCATCTTGATTTCGCTGTCATTTTCCTTAGAAGAATCACAATTTTTATCATGTATTGTTATTAGTATATGCTTTCTACCAAAGAGAATAAGTAATTTCCTTTAGCTTTTTGTAATCATTTCAAACTGAATTTTAATGATTATAAGTTGTATTAAAAATGGGTATAAAGGTGTTGCTAAAATTAGACCAGAGAGTATAAACTCCGATACAGATTACGAAAAGTGTTTGTATGATGTAAAAAGAAACGTTCGTATATAGTAAGTTAGTAACCCCGACATCAAATATTTGACCGTATGTATTTTTTTTTTTGGGGTCAAATGACAGTATATATTATTTATGAATTTACACAAAATATAGAGAAGCATCCCGTACATGCAATGAATTCACACAAAATATAGAGAAGCAAAAGATTACAAATATATAAAAGTCAAAAGATTCTTTCCCCCAAAAAATTATCAGCAAATATGAAAGATTCGTAATTTATAAAATATAAAACAAAATTGATAGTAATTGGAAAGTTTTCAAAAGAAAAGAATGATAATCATATAAATAGAGCCCTTCATCAATAGCTAGAAAATCACAGTTACATATTTTCTTCTCAATAACACTACGAAAATTGAAATGGGTATCACAAAAATCTCAATCACCCTTTTCTTGGTAATAACATTGGCGATTTCGTCCAACTGTGAAGTTCTGGCTGCATCAAGTATAATCACTCTTCCCAAAAGAATTTTTTTT